TGAAACCACGTGCACCATTCAAACTGGCTGCCTTCAACGTTCGCACACTTATGCAGGTCGGACAACAGATAGGGCTGGCTATGTCTTTGGAAAGTCTTAATATTGATGTGTGTTGTCTATCCGAGACCCGTATTCAAGACAACTATTAGTAAAACAATTCAAAATTGATCTCAGTTGAGCAATTAAGTTCACTCCCTAATCTTCTTTAAATTACGATTGAGGAACCATTTCACACTCTAATTCTTCTGTGTTACTAAATTCTTTAAAACTTTAGTTCTTATACTTTAACTTTCAAGTATAATAATACCTCAATAAATAAATTGTAGTATTACAAAATTGTTGTATTCCAAAACAATAATTATTTTTGAGAACGTATTGAAGGGAAAAAAGTATGTAATAGTGCCCCGGTACGGCCAAGAGTGGGGAGAGTCAACTCTCCCTCTCAAAATGCTTTCACATGACCACACGTATACAACCACTTTCAGGGAAGTCCTACTCACTGTCTTCGAGCGGCAGGGGTGTTGTTCACCGAATTGAGAGGACGAAAACCGAATGTCCGGCACTTTTAGTGGGTTGGTGAACACGGAGAGTCCACCTAGAGAATGTTAGGAAACCCTGATTCCAAACCAATGATGTACATGGGCTTCAGGATCCTAAGGAAGCAAATGGCGTATGAACCCATTGTTGGTCACTGGTTACTATGGGAATTCATCTTGTGATGTTGCTCCACTGCTTTGTGGTTTAGACCTCTAGGTCAAAGGCTTCGGGTATGGCTCCCTAAGAAAAGTACCTGCTTCGGTCTGAACACCCGGGAAGAATCCCAGCCCTCACATAAAATCAAGTGACTTGTGTATCTGGTGCCACCTATTGCCCCCAAATGCCCTGGTATGGCCGAGAGCGGGGAGGGTTCGCCCTCCCTCTCGAAATACTCTCACACGGCCACGCATATACAGCCTCTGCCAGGGAAGTCCTACTCACTGCCTTCTCGTGGCGGGGGTGTTGTTTACGAAAATGAGAGGACGAAAAGCGAACGTCCGGCGCTATAACCGGATCCCAATTCTATGGTGCACATGGGCTCCAGTATCCTGCGGGAACAAATGGCGTATGAACCAACTATTAGTCACCAGCTTCCATGGTACTGAATCTCCTCACGATGCTCCACTGCCTTGTGGACTAGACCTTTAGGTCAAAGGCTCGGGGTGTGGCCCCCTAAGAAAACCACCTGCTTCGGTCTGGGCACCCGGGCAGTATCTCAGCCCACACACTAAAACTATGATGAACTATCTGCTTATAGAAAATATTCGTTTCTCTCTGACTAACATTGAAATGACTGGTATTATTATTATTATTATTACTATTATTATTATTGTTATTATTATTATTATTTACTACGTCATTTATTCACTATCTCCTATTTCTACATTTTGTATCCGTTTCGACTCAGACAACAGCTCGCCCATGGTGAAAATTCAGCTTTATCTAAACGTTCTCGAGTCACTGCCTGGTTGAAAATTGTATGTTACTACCGAATATGAGTACTGAAGCAGTTTTTCTGAAACCACGTGCACCATTCAAACTGGCTGCCTTCAACGTTCGCACACTTATGCAGGTCGGACAACAGATAGGGCTGGCTATGTCTTTGGAAAGTCTTAATATTGATGTGTGTTGTCTATCCGAGACCCGTATTCAAGACTCTGGTGAAGTACTACAAGTTCGCTCTCCATCTGTCGCTTCAAAAAGCTTGTTTTACGTGCGTTTATCCGGGGACCCTGTGGCATCTTCGTCTGGTCTTGCTGGCGTTGGTGTCACACTAAGCGCAAGACCTGAGGCAGCACTAGTCGACTGGATCCCCATTAACAGTCGGTTATGTGCTGTTAGATTAGAAAGTTCCATCAAAGTGAGAAGAAATCGGCGTGAGAAACGATGTATTTTCGTCATCTCCGCCTATGCCCCGACAGATTGAAGCCCAGATGCAGTCAAGGACGAGTTCTACCATCAGCTAACTGTTCTTCTCCAGAAAGTGCGTTCGACAGATATTGTTGTACTAGATGGAGACTTGAATGCTCAGGTCGGGCGTCTAGGCACAGAAGAGAGTCGTTTAGGTGGCCGATGGGGACTTGTTGGTCGCAGGACAGATAACGGGGAACGTCTACTGCAACTGTGCACAGACCACAACCTGTTTCTGGCTAGCACTAACTTTCGGCACAGTCATCGCCGATGTGCCCCTTTTGCATCTCAAGCCTGGACTCAGATTGATCACATCGCCATCAGCTACCGCTGGCGCGGTTGTGTACAAGACTGCCGCTCCTTTTGGAGTACCTATCTGGAATCTGATCATGCTCTGGTCTGCGCCAATCTTACCTTACTTTTCAGTGGACAACGAAGTGACCGTCACCAAAGGATTGATGTTAGCAAGCTGGCTGCAACTTCTGTTGCTAGTAAATATCGAACCGAGCTAGCTTCCAGGCTAGCTACCACTCCACCGAAAAGTATAGATTAGCATTGGTTGCAATTGCATGACGCCATGAAAATGGCGGGTACAGTCTGTTGTGGGTTTGCGAAACGTCCCGCTTACAAGCACTGGGTTTCTTCTGGTTCGTTACAACTCATTGAAGCCCGTCGATCTACTCCGGGTGACCGTGAGTTCGACCACAGACGAAGGATGTTACGTAATGAAATCGGGCAAAGCTTGCGTAAGGACCGAGAAGCCTGGTGGTCGGAGCGTGCCAGTGAGTTGGAAGCAGCAGCTGCATCTGGTAATTACCGGAAGCTCTTCCAACTCATCCGAGCCACTGGCAATAAGAAGTCTGGTGTGAGCGAAACAATCTGCGAGGACGACTGAACGAAATTCACTAACATCCATCGACGTCTTGGACGATGGGCAGAATTCTTTGAAGGGCACTTCAACTGGCCTGCTGCTCCGGCAACATCGGTCAGACTGTCCTGCCCTCCATGGCCGGTGACGACTGATCCACCAAATGAGGCGGAAGTCCGCAAGGAACTCCAACTCTTGAAACGCTACAAATCACCGGGCCCAGATGACTTACCTCCGGCTTTTTAAAGATGGTGGTGACTTTCTGACTAAGGGACTGACGACGTTGTTTACAAAGGTCTGGGAACTAGAAAGTGTACCAACGTCATGGAATGAGTCGATAGTTGTCCCTATCTTTAAAAATGGTTCACGTTGTTCCTGTAACAACTATCGGGGGATAAGTCTACTTCCGATTGCGTCCAAGTTATTGGCTTCCGTCATACTTCGTAGGTTGTTCAGAACCCGAGAAGGATTGACTCGCGAGGAGCAGGCTGGGTTTCGTCCTGGTCGAGGATGTATTGATCATATCTTCACCCTCCGCCAAGTGTTAGAACACCGCCATACTTATCAAAGGCCAACAATCGTAGTGTTTCTTGATATCAGGGCTGCCTTCGATTCGTTGGACAGAACTGTTCTCTGGGATTGTCTATTGAAGAAGGGTGTGCCTGAGAAGTTTATTAACATCCTAAAAGCCCTATACACAAACACCTCAGGCAGAGTGAGGGCATACAATCACCTTTCTCCACTATTCCATTCGAGCAGTGGGGTTAGGCAGGGTTGCCCAATCTCACCATTCCTCTTCAACTTTGCCATCGATGACATTCTGGAAACAGCTCTGACGGATGTAAGTAATGGTGGTGTGGATCTGTTGCCTGGAGAAAGACTTCTCGACCTTGAGTATGCGGATGATATTGTCTTACTGTGCGAGAATGCCCAAGCCATGCAATCCGCACTTAATCAGTTGGCAATCAGTGTCCGTAGGTATGGTATGTGCTTTGCACCTTCGAAGTGCAAAGTTCTTCTACAAGACTGGCAGGATTCTAATCCTGTACTCACTCTGGATGGTGAGCAGATTGAAGTAGTCGAGAAGTTCGTGTATCTAGGTAGCTGCATAAGTGCTGGTGGTGGTGTGAGTGATGAGATCAATGCACGTATAGTGAAAGCCAGAGCGGCTTATGCCAATCTGGGCCATCTTTGGCGCCTTCGTGATGTTAGTCTGGCTGTAAAAGGTCGGATCTACAACGGGACGGTGAGAGCAGTTTTGCTCTATGCTTGTGAAACCTGGCCTCTCCGAGTTGAGGATGTTAGACGACTCTCTGTGTTCGATCATCGTTGTCTCCGACGGATTGCTGGCATCCAGTGGCAACACCATGTCAGTAATGCAGAGGTTCGGCATCGTGTGTTCGAGCACAGAGACGATAATGCAATTGGTGTCACCATCTTGAAACACCGACTTCGGTGGCTTGGACATGTTTTACGAATGTCGTCCCAGAGAATTCCACGTCGTGCATTATTTGCCGACTGTGGGATGGTTGGAAAAAGCGGAGAGGTGGTCAGCATATGACATGGTGTCGTGGTATGAAAGAAAGCTGCAAAGGGCTAGCTTCTGTTGGTCCTTCACGACTCCCTGGTTGGGGTCCGAGAGACGGTGTAACGCAGTGGCTAGAGACGTTATCAGATATGGCTCAGAATAGAAGCCAGTGGCGATCGTGCTGTAACCTTCTTTTACTTTCTTCATAAAAAGTGGTTGTATCTTCCTTACTGAAAGATCTCTTCTGATTGTACCTTTCCGTTTCCCCCACCATTGTTCTCTCTCTCCCCTTTTTTTTATAATTCCCCACGTTCATTACTTTCTTTTCTCTTTTCTCCTTCTCTTCAAATTGTTATTGTTTTGTGTGGCGCATATATATTTGGTGCCCCCCTTGTACCAATATTCATGTGTTCAAATAAATAATAAATAAATAATAATGCCACCTTTGTACCATTGTTTATGTTTTCAAATAAATAAATAAATAATTCTATGAATTATATATCTGCAATTGTTGGGGGGGGGCGACTAAATTTCAAAATAGGTACTACTGAATAATAAATAAAAACCGTGTTTTTTTCCAAAAAAACGAAATAATAACTATGTACACACATATGCAACTAATATGATCAGTGGAAATATTAAATTATTTTCTTTTACCTGTAACAGCAGTCAATGCTCCATGTGAATGAACTAAACACAATACAAATTGTACACCGAAATAACCGGACAATGAAAATATAAAACCATAACCATACGTTTGTAAAGCATGCTAATTAAACAAAATAAAAAAGACCATATTGAAAAAAGAATAAATAATATTTCATGGAGGATTTAACATGAAATAATAATAATAACCTGTTATACAATTCAATGTTAAACATACATTATTTTTAATTCTAGTGTTATATGAATATAAAATTATGATCTAAGATGGATAGCGGCTAGCAGTGGAATCCAGGATGCGCATTTCGTCATACTTGGGACTCATTAGCTGGATGTACCTGTATCTCAGAGGTGATGTTCACTCTGGGACTCGAATCCAGTACCGTTCGCACCAAATGCCATCGCATTATCCACTTAGCTACTGAGTCCTAATAGCCACTTGCTTGTGCAATGGGTTGAAAGTTTGGTGTTGTTAACTTGTATCGTCCCATTGTTATTTAGGACTGAAATTGATCAGACTCTTGTTAGCATTTTTGCTTATAAAGCTTGTGACTTGAGGCAATATCAAGGCAATCTGCACAGGATGCGCATATGCCAACAAAAGACTGGTCAATTGCAGTCCTACATAACAATCGGAAGATACAATTAAGCAATACCAAGTGAATATAAAATTATGATGTTTTAAAGAAGGAATGAAGTGAAAAGTAAAGAAAAACAATTCACTATCAATGACATTAATACCGATAGTGTACATTTCATCACTAGTAATCAATGTAAATTACACCAAGAAGTTATAATCAACCAAAAGATTTCAAGTTGTTATTCAAAAGATATGTTCTTACTTACTTAAATACGCCTGTTACTCCTAATGGAGCATAGACCGCCGACAAGCATTCTCCAACACACTCTGTCCTGGGCCTTCCTTTCTAGTTCCATCCAATTCTTCTTCATTTTTCTCATGTTTATCTCCATTTCTTGGCGTAATCTGCTCTTTGGTCTTCCTCTCCTCCTTCGGCCTTCAGGATTCCATGTGAGGCCTTGTCTTGTGACGCAGTTCGGTGCCTTCCTCAATGTGTGTCCTATCCACTTCCAGCGATTCTTTCTGATTTCTTTCTCCTCTGGGATCTGGTTTGTTCTATCCCACAGTAGGTTGTTGCTAATAGTGTCCGGCCAACGAATCCGAAGTATTTTGAGTAGACAACTGTTAATAAACACGTGTATCTTCTGGACGATGGCTTTCGTAGTTCCCCAAGTTTCCGCTCCATACAGCAGAACTGTCTTGACATTTGCATTGAAAATTCTGACTTTGGTGTTGGTTTCCAAAACATGATGAACTGTCTACTTATAGAAAATATTCTTCTCGTTCCGATTAACAATAAAATAACTCGCAATATTGTTATTATTATTATTATTGTTTGTCACGTCATTTATTCACTTCCTTTTTTTCATACTCTGTCTATTATCATTTTTCGACTTATACAGCCGCTCGCCTATGGTGAAAATTCGGCTTTGTCTAAATGTTCTCGAGTCTCTGTCTGGTTGAAAATTGTATGTTACCATCGAATACGAGTACTGAAGCAGTTTTTCTGAAACCACGTGCACCATTCAAACTGGCTGCCTTCAACGTTCGCACACTTATGCAGGTCGGACAACAGATAGGGCTGGCTATGTCTTTGGAAAGTCTTAATATTGATGTGTGTTGTCTATCCGACACCCATATTCAAGACTCTGGTGAAGTACTACAAGTTCGCTCTCCATCTGTCGCTTCAAAAAGCTTGTTTTACGTGCGTTTATCCGGGGACCCTGTGGCATCTTCGTCTGGTCTTGCTGGCGTTGGTGTCACACTAAGCGCAAGACCTGAGGCAGCACTAGTCGACTGGATCCTCATTAACAGTCGGTTATGTGCTGTTAGATTAGAAAGTTCCATCAAAGTGAGAAGAAATCGGCATGAGAAACGATGTCTTTTCGTCATCTCCGCCTATGCCCCGACAGATTGCAGCTCGGATGCAATCAAGGATGAATTCTACTATCAGCTAACTGTTCTTCTCAAGAAAGTGCGTTCGACAGATATTGTAGTACTAGCCGGAGACTTGAATGCTCAGGTCGGGCATCTAGGCACAGAAGAGAGTCGTTTAGGTGGCCGATGGGGACTTGTTGGTCGCAGGACAGATAACGGGGAACGTCTACTGCAACTATGAACAGACCACAACCTGTTTCTGGCTAGCACTAACTTTCGGCACAGTCATCGCCGATGTGCCCCTTTTGCATCTCAAGCTTAGACTCAGATTGATCACATCGCCATCAGCTATCGCCGGCGTGGTTGTGTACAAGACTGCCGCTCCTTTTGGAGTACCTATCTGGAATCTGATCATGCTCTGGTCTGCGCCAATCTTACCTTACTTTTCAGTGGACAACGAAGTGACCGTCACCAAAGGATTGATGTTAGCAAGCTGGCTGCAACTTCTGTTGCTAGTAAATATCGAACAGAGCTAGCTTCTAGGCTAGCTACCACTCCACCGAAAAGTATAGATGAGCATTGGTTGCAATTGCATGACGCCATGAAAATGGCGGGGACAGTCTGTTGTGGGTTTGCGAAACGTCCCGCTTACAAGCACTGGGTTTCTTCTGGTTCCTTACAACTCATTGAAGCCCGTCGATCTACTCCGGGTGACCGTGAGTTCGACCACAGACGAAGGATGTTACGTAATGAAATCGGGCAAAGCTTGCGTAAGGACCGAGAAGCCTGGTGGTCGGAGCGTGCCAGTGAGTTGGAAGCAGCAGCTGCATCTGGTAATTACCGGAAGCTCTTCCAACTCATCCGAGCCACTGGCAATAAGAAGTCTGGTGTGAGCGAAACAATCTGCGAGGACGACTGAACGAAATTCACTAACATCCATCGACGTCTTGAACGATGGGCAGAATTTTTCGAAGGGCACTTCAACTGGCCTGCTGCTCCGGCAACATCGGTCAGACTGTCCTGCCCTCCATGGCCGGTGACGACTGATCCACCGAATGAGGCGGAAGTCCGCAAGGAACTCCAACTCTTGAAACGCTACAAATCACCGGGCCCAGATGACTTACCTCCGGGACTCTTCTCTGGGAGTGTCTATTGAAGAAGGGTGTGCCTGAGAAGTTTATTGACATCCTTGTGTTGGTCCTTCACGACTCCCTGGCTGGGGTCCGAGAGATGGTGCAGCACAGTGGTTAGAGACGTTATCAGATATGGCTCAGAATAGGAACCAGTGGCGATCCTGCTGTAACCTTCTTTTATTGTCTTTATAAAAAGCGGCTGCTTCCTCCACAACTGAAAGATTTCTTCTGATTGTACCTTTTTGTTTCCCCCATTATTACTACTATAACACTACCTTATACTAATCTGTCCGTTATTGTTTCTTTTTCGCTCCTTACCCTCCTTTCTTTTTTTCCCTACTGTTTAAATTCTCATTGTTTTGTGTGTCGCATAAATATTTGGTGCCCCCTTGTACCAATATTTATGTGTTCAAATAATAATAATAATAATAATAATGCCAATTATTTTGAGTTCCAGATTTTTTTCAGTTTTAAATATGCTGCTCTTGCTTTGCAGATCCGCGCATTCACATCTGCATCAGATCCACCATGCTCATCAATGATGCTGCCCAAATATGTAAAGGTGTTTACGTCTTCTCCTGCATTTGTTGTTGCGTTTGCGATAGAAGAGCCAGATCATCTGCGAAGTCTAGATCATCCAACTGCATCCTAGACGTCCACTGTATTCCGTGCTTCCCTTCAGATGTTGACGTTTTCATGATCCAGTCTACCACCAGGAGAAAGAGAAAGGGTGAGAGTAAGCAACCTTGCCTGACACCGGTCTTTACTTCGAATGACTTTGTCAACTGTCCTCCATGAACGATTTCGCAGTTTAATCCATCATAGGAAGTCCGCATGATATTGACTATCTTCTGAGGCACGCCGTAGTGTCGAAGAAGCTTCCATAGGGTTGTTCTGTCCACGCTATCAAATGCTTTTTCGTAGTCAATGAAATTGATATAGAGTGATGAATTTCATTCAATTGATTGTTCCACAACGATCCGTAGAGTTGCGATTCGGTCTGTACACGATGTATCCTTACGGAATCCTGCCTGTTGGTCGCGAAGTTGGGCGTCTACGGAGTCCTTCGTCCTGTTTAATAATACCCTGTTGAAGACTTTTCCTGGTATTGAAAGAAGAGTGATGCCCCTGTAATTGTCACAGTTGCTGAGATCGCCTTTCTTTGGTATTTTGTTCAGAAGTCCTTCTTTCCAGGCTTTTGGTACTTGTTCTTCATCCCCAAATCTTGCTGAAGAGAATGGAGTACCTTTTCAGTTACCGCTACGTCTGCTTTCAGTGCCTCTGCTGGAATGTTATCTGGTATTGCTGCTTTACCACACTTGATTTCTCTAATGATCATGCTGATTTCTTCAATTGTTGGTGGGCCAACATCAATTGGGAGGCCCGTAAGTGCTGCTTCGATGTTGGGTGGGTTCAGTGTGGCTGGTTGATTCAAGAGTTCTTTGAAGTGTTCTACCCACCTGTTTCGTTGTTCTTCAACGTTGGTGATTATCTTGCCTTCCTTGTTTCTCACTGGTCGTTCTGGTTTACGGTGATTTCCAGAGAGTTTCTTTGTTGTGTCATACAGTTGTCTCATGTTTCCTTCTCTGGCAGCCTTTTCCGCCGTCATTGCTAAATCTTCCACATATTTACGTCTGTCGGTTCTGATGCTCCTCTTCACTTGCTTGTTTAGTTCTGTGTATTCAGCTTGTGCCTTGGCTTTCTCTGCTCTTGTTCTGCTGGTATTGATTGCTGCCTTCATGTTCTTCATGTCGTGAATCTTACCTAGTGTATTAACAGTGATCCATTCCTTGTGGCCCAGAACCTCATGACATGTTGAAGTGATTGCCTTTTTTATCACTTTCTAGCTGCTCTCCATAGTAGTTCCTTCTCCATTGAGTAGATCATGAAAGGCTTGGAACTTATTGCTGAGGGTTATCTTGAATTTATTGAGTTTGTCATTAACCCGAAGAAGAGCCGTATTAAATTTTTGTGATATTGTCCTCCCCGTTGTCCAGTGCCTCTTCAGTTTCAATTTCATCTTGGCGACCAGCAAGTGATGATCTGATGCTATATCAGCTCCTCCATCGTCCTCCTGAACTTTTTGTTGATGCCGATATAGTCGATTTGGTTCTGCATAGTGTGATTAGTGAAGTCCATGTGATTTTGTGGATGCGTTTATGTGGGGATATAGTGCCACCTATGACCAGTTTATTGAAGGCACATAGGTTTGCAAATCTCTCACCATTTTCGTTCCTTTCTACCAGTCCGTGTCGTCCCATGATCTCTTCATATCCGGTGTTGTCAATTCCAACCTTCGCATTTAAATCGCCCATGCGAATAGTCAGGTCCCTTGTTGGGCACTTCTCGACGATTGACTGAAGCCTATCGTAGAATTGATCTTTAGCATCTTCATTGTAGTTGTTGGTAGGCGCGTAGCATTGGATGACGCTCATTGTAATGCCCTCTTTCTTCGTTTTGAAGCAGTCTTTGATGATCCTTGGCCCATGAGATTCCCATCCTATAAGTGCATTTTGTGCTTGTTTGGACAGCATCGATGCAACTCCTTATGTGTGTGTGGCATTTTCTTTTTTATGTCCGGAATATAACAACAGCTCCCCTGGAGCTAGTCGTTGTTGTCCAACTTGCGTCCAATGTGTTTCACTGATCCCAAGCACCTCTAGGTTGTATCTCCTCATTTCTGCAGCAATTTGGAAGACTCTCCCAGACTCCCATATTGAACGCGCATTCCATGTACCTAAATAAATGGTTGCTCCGGTTATCAGAAGGGGCATCGGCCTCGTGACTTCCGAAGGAACTCGGCTTTCATCATGAGGCGTCATAACTCTTCTAAATGAAGACCTTCTGAGTCCCAGGGCAGAGTTTAAATGGTTTGAATAATTTTTTCTGGTTAGCGTTTTTTAGCGAGTTAGTTTTCTACAGGATAGGGTCGCAAACCCCAGGCCCAACCCTCCTCCATTATCCGGGCTTGGGACCGGCAGTAGCCCCCGGAGGGACTCCAAGCGGAGTCCACTAAAATAAAACAGGCATACATAGTTTGATATTCCATTTCTAATGTAAATTGTAGTGGGTTTACCAATACTAATGAATCACTCAATGTTTAAAATAACAAATCATTCATTAATTATTCAAATTATAGTTATAATCATAATCATGAAGTTTTAATTCGTTTTTTATTAGTCTACCTGAAGATTTAATTGATCATATTGTCTAGTAAAATAATCAATGCTTCACTAAGAAACCACCTAGTTTCAGGGAAATAATATTAGTGGAATATTGATCAATTTTAAAGTTTTTTTTAATTAATGATAAGTAACAGCACGATCGGACAATCGATGAGAATCTAGAAACACTAAATAATTAATTTGTCTTATTTTAGAGCCGCCATTTTAGTTAACATTCATGACGTTACACACAAGATTGGCAATCATGATACTTTTCTTCATATACCAAGTGCAGATTTACGTACCTAAGTTTGGGTTACATTTTATTTGTGTGAGGGTTACGAATACTACTTTATCAACTAAACTCAAGCAGGTGGGAGGGGGTTCAAACATGTTAAATACTAGTTGAAAGTCAACTGCTTTAACTACCAAACTATCACAGTATGATACCTTTAAAATACTGAGTACGAGTTTAACGGTGTGGATTTTCAATACCAGCCAACTTGCAATAAGAGCAGATAAACACCAGACAGTATCAGTGGAACGTGCCTACGTCAGTCGGCAACGAGTGTACATCGCTCAAAGGTATCATATCAAATTGGCACGGTGAGATGAAACTATCAGGATTAATATCGAAGTAGTAGTAGTGTGATAGTAAAAATAATCATATCCCTCACAACTGACCTGATTGAAATTGACCAGTCATGAGTTTCTAGCTAGACCAATGGCGAAGTTGTAGGTGTAGGACCGGGTAATACTCATTACCATTTAGCTTTTCATAGTTCTATGTTGGATGAAAACTGATAATAAATATTGTAATAAACTAAGTACTTCACTTGTATAAACAAATATTCAAAAAAAATTAATAAAACGAAGGTTAATCAGTAAAAGCACCACGAAATAACTAAATAATACCTACATCATTAAAAAAATAGAAGGATGGTATCAAATTGCCGGATATTGTTAGAACGGAAGCCAACAAACAAAAGCCCAATGAATACGAATAAAACAGCTGAAATATTAGTTCATTTCAGAAAAATTAAAAAGAAAAGCATAAAATCGAGAAACGATAAAACAAAGGGGAGAACGTTTATAATGAAATGCTATTTAAATGATTCAACTAATACTTATTTGATTTCCATTTACGAAGATATACAGTCTACTGGGACTCTTAAAGATACCGATATAAATAAAATAAACAATTATGGGCTTTGTGGACTGGTGGTTGCCGTACAATTATCTGATAATTTCAAGGATATGATCATTCTATTTATTCCCTGAACACTCTTTGAGGCAGGAAAAAGTATTACAATGGAATAATACAATAACTCTTAAGGAACAGCAAGAATTAACCTTGACAATTAACTATTAGTTGATCAGATAATCAATGATCTACAGAGCTAATATGTTCCGATCACTTATGACATTTGATCATATAAGATTTTTTCACAAATGGTATATAAATATGTGATTCCATTAAGTGAAAAACATTTTTTCTGCTTCATGGTTTTGCATTCGATATTAGGTGATTCAGGAATTTCAGAAAATATTCTCTTCTTGAAAGCAACCGTCAGTTGAACATATAGTATTACTGTACCTATCCAGCGGTCAGCCCTCTATTCATTTATACCAACCAAGCAAAATTCGTCACGGTTCGTTATCTATCCTAACTTACGAAAGTTAGAATAGAAGATTGGTGGACATCATTCCATTTTTAATTTCAATAGTTGTCTAACTAAAGTCAGTTCGTTATGGAAATTACAAAAATAGTAATTAATTTATGTGAACATTTTAAACAATATTGAGAGAGTTTACTTACAATCTCTGAATTTGATCTAACATACTTTTTCATGATAATTTCTTGAAAATTACCCAAAGCTCCATCACAGCATAATGCGAGTGAAACTAGAAAAACTCCTACGATAGGAAAAATAATTTAACCAATGCTTGTAAAAAAACTTGTTGAAATTTATGAAAAATTTCATTTCTCTGGTAAACTTTCAATAGACGATAAAAAAATCTTATACGTAGCATACAATAAATAGTTCATATAAATAGACCCGACCGTTGCTGCTACCTTGACGTGGTGGTCGGGCTTGCCTATCGTAATGAACCAGTAGAGCTATACTGGCTGGAACAATCGTTCCTCAAGGTTCTATCATGACAGACAGGTCGGTTGAAAAGCGGTAAGACTAGAAGCAGCAAACCCAAGATCCGAGGGCGGAGTAGTACTGCTGACTGTACAGAGGTGTGACAGCAGTAAGGTGCTTTCTTCAGACAAGCAGCATAACAGCGATGCTGTAGGGATGGGATTAGAAAAGATCGACCCCAAAAATGCACACCTCGTCTTATCCCACGGATATCCGTCTCCGGTGGTAAGGTCTCAACAAGTACCGAGCTAACACGGGAATTACTCATAAAAAGGTCGCGTGTGACCGACCTCAAGCAGTTGTTTCTTGGGCACTGCGGTCACGCTCTCTGGTCACTAAGAACAACCCTAATCCAATTTCTTTTTCAGGTACCTAAAGAAGAACCCTTCCACGCTGTGGGCAACCGGGAAGTGATAACCACCCTCACATCTCTAACAGAACTCAAGACCACTGTATTCATAGTCAACCCCTTTCTTCAGTCCCTATTATTCCTCCTACATCGTCTATCAACACTAAACTTCCCCTTGTGGCTTTCTCCTCAAGTTTCACCATAGCCAACGATTCTAGTGCACAAAACACTGTCCCAGGTCTACTGAAACCTTGCTTCAAAATACACATTGAAGCCTTCAACATACGCACCTTGTGTTAAACCGTCCAGCACGCATCCTTGGCTAAAACCCTAGACTCTCGTACCGTTGATGCATGCTGTGCCTCCGAAACACACATACAGGGTCTTAGTGCGGTCATTCACTTGACCTTACATCGACAAAAAGGGAAAGCCGACGAGATACACCCTCCGTGTATCTGGCGACCCGAAAATATTTAAGTCGGGTAGTTTTATTTAACCAATGAAATAAACCATATTCATACAATCAGTTTAACGGCAAATATTTGATTCTGCTTTCAATTTAATAAATAAACAAGTATCAATCACTCTGGATGTTCGATGTTATTTCAGTATTTGAAAAGCATCTTAAATCTCTCGTTGGCTGGAACAATTATCGACCTACAAATGCTCAGATGATTGTAAAGATAAACAAAATTTCAAACTAATTTCGATGGTTTACTACCATGAATGAACATAAAACAAACTAAAAAGTCTCAATAGTGGGAAACCTTCAACTAATTTCACCTTTCAAGCATGCTTAATATATTACTAAATGCCAGAGTAGTTATCAAAGCTAACGCTAATCTAAATAATAATGAAAATACATAAGAAACAAGCTTACCAAACAAAGTAAACTTAGGCTGTATAGATACATCAACCAATGTAAAACAAATTAAACCTAACGTCATCAAAAGCACCGCCAATACTTCATAAATGGAATATCTTCTTCCTAGGTGATAATTACATAAGACATACTTCAAATTACCTTGTATAAGAACTCCACCTAACAACACTGGGATCATTTTACAACACTTAAATATCACTTGAGTTGGATAGTTAAGAAAACCGACTGAAGCATTAGAAAGAGCAATTGAACCCAATGTTAGTACAGCTACAATAGCATAGAGATGAATCCATGGGCTAATAAAATAAATGTGTAAAACATATGAAATCTTAAAATTAGAACTTTACTTGAATAGTAGATAACCATGAGCACGTAGTTCCAAAAATGATAAAACCGAGTAGATTCCAAATTGATATAGTGTAAGGAATGGACTATAGGATCGTAAATCATTGGCAGAGAATATTGCTTCCTACAATAAAAATATAACCTGAAATATAATACCCAGCTTTTTGAAATCGGTAAACATTAAGAGTTAAGTTATGTAGATGGAGTTGAATGACATTGCAAAATTGAAAATTTAGGGTAAGCAGTACTGAAAAATATTTTTGCCGATAATTTTTAAAAGTTTCACTGTACGCTAAACGATCGATAAAAATGATACACCTACGTTTTAGAAACGACGTTAACTATTACGGAGGAATTCTAGTTTGACAAAATAGTACATATTACCTTATTTGATATGCTATGTGCAACACCGTTTTTAGACGACAGTAAATAATATATGGCTATTACTCTACCTAATTTTTTCATTGTCCAACTTGTTGTCCGTTGTTTTAATCCCTGTGGAGATCTACTTGTACTTATACGGATTCCTTTTAGAACACAATGGAATTACAAAACACTAATGTTTTGCGAAACTTTCGTCTAAATAAACATACCAAGAACATCAAAGATACTGTTGGTTAACACCGCTAAAACGTAATTAATCTAGACCCTTGAGTCTAGGAAACTCATTAATACAATAAATCCAAACAGTTATATTCAAAATGCAGTTCTACTTATTCAGCTGAAGCAACACAACACATTTTTGTTTTGTAAAACCCGAAGAATGCACCAACATTAGTTCGTCAAAACATCGGACTACGTTGCTTACTATTGACATTAAGATAATTACTCAAACGGCTATTTCATAGACTTAGATTTCCACTAAAATGTTAATTTTACGATAAAAATTCTGAATTACTCACCAATAACCGCAATACTCTTAATGAGAACTGAACTTTTCTCAGTTTTCTAAGATGTGATTTCAGGATAAAGGGCTATCTTAAAAGACTAAAAAAGAACAACTAAGCTTTTACCATGGGAACTACGTAAGCCACACAGAACAAAAAGCATCTATATTTGAATAAGCAATGACAGAAGTTCAATGATTACTCAATAGCTATGGGGAAGCTAAGATTTGTAAGGCCAACGAGTATATTATCTATCATGTAAAGTATTTGAAGTAAATATGACCAACTGTTCGAATTCCATGACAAATAACACAAGATCTGATATAATTCATTCAATTTTACCCTAAACATCACTGAAAATGAGTAGCATTGAAAACAAAAAACAAGACAAATAATATGTAGTAAGATGGATTTATAATATCAGCAATAATTTATCATTTCTAGAGTTTCTTAAAGGTTAAAAGCAGAATGAAATTGGAGAAATATTGTGAGCGGCGTAATGCACAACACAGGAAAATAGCTTTATTAAACCTAGAATCCCGAACTTAACACTCTGCAACAAAAATCAATTTGAGGATGGGTTTTAGTGAAATGATTTGAACTGCCTCATTCCTATGAAATTGGTGGCTATTTCAGTAACTGTACTATATCCACAAGTCACTTGGTTGACTGACGATACCAATGCAACAGAAGTCTATAATCATATTCTTTTGAGGACTGATAAGGAAAAATTTAAAGATTAACAATCAACACGTGAGTCAATCCATGAAGATTAATATAAGCACAAAAATAAATACTAAAGGATGTCGAAAACGTTTGGACAACAAATTTAAAACACTCAGACCCCAATAGATTGAAATATAACTGTTAGAAATGGTTTTTACCGAATTTTAAGATTTCTTACAGTACAGTACCTTTTGTGCTGGTATAGCAGATATTTATGTTTTTACTTTTTAAATTAGAATTAAAAGTCAGCTACGGTAGACGTTCCAATAAGTAGACTATAGCGTATTACTTCAAAATTTTGAATGGGAAGCTAGTGACATGGTGAAGGATTTATGAGTTAGATGGATGCTTTCGTTAATGCCTCATCCTTCAAGAGAAATGTTCTTATCAAATCACTTTCAGTGTTATTCTACACAATATCACCGGACCCTACTTTGAGCAGAAGCGTTTTGACTGCTTTAAAAAAGCTTGGTCAACAAACTTTTTTAACAGATTTCGTTAATAGTGAAATATTTACTCCAAATCTTTTGCGGTATTCTTGGTTTTCTTCCGAACCTTCATTGTGAAATGTTTTTCGAAGTAACCTATGCTGATAATAAGTCCTTCGTGAGCAAACATCATTGACAGCAAGTGATTACTAAGGTGTACACCACTACGCTAAAAACATACAAATCTGTTTATCACGATCTCTAAATTGTCAACAGACTTTGCAGTCTACAGAAAAAATCGGAGGCTAATTAGACGTAATCTATTCGAAATGTGACAATTCCAAATTAACTTTGAAGATATGATGAAGTAATAATGAAAAGTTTCGAAATTCATAATAAAGAATCTACTAATTTTTTCTAGACAGATAACTGTAATCAAACACTATTAAACTGGTGGTGTGAAACTTATTAAAAACCATCAATATGAGATCTACAATTTCAATTAATCGATAAAGAAAAAATTGGGTTTATCGTAATGTCATAGTAACCCCAACGTAACTTAAATCTCATATCTACTGTAGTATTCTAGACTCGAAAACACAGAGTGACATTTTTCTGTCATATGCTAATCACCTTCGGATTACCCAGACAGGTGTTCCAAGTTCGTAAGCGAAGAATTAATGGTATTTCGAAAACATTGGTTAAACACGCTCTTGGATTGACAACTACCTCTTGCCAATTTGATAGTATTCAGAGAGATGCCTGGTCGATGAAAATGTAACACAACGCTCTGAAATTTATGACTCTCTAATTCTATTTTCCATCTGTATATGTTTACATACGCACACATATGTGTATAAGTGTCTACTTATCAGACCAACAGCAATCGAATTTTTTCAATATGAATAAACTTCTGAGCTAAAACTAACCTAAACCACATAAATAGCAATGAATGAGTAATGCAATGACCTGTAATGCTCCGAAGCATATATACAAAATAAAAATCCCAGCAATTGAAACACCCAGTTTCCAGTTGGGTGATAGACTTGACATGTTGAACCCGCATATGTATATTTCATTATTTTTTGACATTGTGTTAACTTTTGTGGCGGCCTGTTCCATCATTTCGATATTATCGGCTTTCGAAAGTGCACAGCGTAGAGATAAACAAGTAGCGCAGAAAATTGCCGTGACGTCGTTGCTCAGATTGAGTAACATTTGTAAATGCGTCAAGGTCACGATTCTGTTTCTGGTCTTCAGACCTCAATAGCAGTTAGAGAATAAGTAGCACAGATTATACTATTGACTCAAAGCTCTTTGAAGGCCACTTCGACGACCGTTCAGATACTTTGACGGGGTGTTTCAAGTTTTATATACCACCTACGTAATACCACACTGAATGTACTGTACTCAAGCTTCTGGTTCATGTCTTATTAAGAGTGCTGACTCACTGGAGCACATTCAGCGTGTGGTAACAAAATTTATGAAGCCTTTCTAAACTCCCTTACGATGAGAGCCTGAAACGCCCGAATCTTTTAGCCCTGTCGTATCGTAGAACGCATTCCTCGTCTTTAATTATGATTCGGGTATTAATGTGTCTTATCTTTTGCTCTCTCTAGCACTAATAATCTTCAAGACCATAGCAAGAAAGTCTTAAACGAGATTTCGTAGAAACAGAGTGAAGTGACGTTTTTCACATCGAGTTAACAACTGTTTCAGACTCAGTGGGTTTATCAACCTTTACTTCCATTTAATGTAATCCACAATGACTCTCTGTAATATACGTGTTCGCCTTCGACTAGAATACTATCCAGTTATATTCAGCTGCATGCGTTTTCTAGACCGGCAGAAAATTAGGAAAGTGCAACGCCATCTTACAAGACCTCACTCCAGACCTATTGTAGTGACCTACGTTTATCAACAGAACGCGATTGTTGTAATGTAAACAATTACTATTATAACAAATAGTACCAGTGACTGTTTTACTGTACTTGTTTGTTCAACTGTACCAAAGACATTCTTTCTTCCGTTGACTGTGACCTTGTACGGATTCGGTTACGCTCAGTAACCTTACTTGTAATCTAGCACGATCTCGGTATTCCTTCGATACCTCGAGATTGCCAGTAAATACACCTCGACTACAGCCCCCAACTGCCTTCTGATGTTTGGCCTATGGGGGATCTTATCGGTTAACTGGCATGTAGTCTTCTTGTAGTGGTGTTCATAGTCAACGGCGACTCGACGTCACGCTACACTATCGTATAAAAATAGATATGAAGCATGGAAGCTAGATCCCTATCGGTTACGACGAAATAAATTCAACCTTACCTTACTTTATAAAATTCTATATAACAAAACCATAGTAATTTTTGATACGTTAACACTCACCAAAAATAGTAATTATAACCTTCGTAACCAGGATTTTTACCAAAAATATCGAAAAAATCAAGCAAATTGAAGCTAAATTTCCTTTTCATACGCTACGCAAGTCTCTGTGGTACGTCATCATTAAACATCCAGTCAAGTCAAACGCTTGTTCAATTAAAATCTCCCCCAAGCTGCTTTTTGTTCCGATTCGACGTTTTCCATATACTCGACGAACCTTATCAAAGATAAGCTTCATTTAACGATGGGCCATCTAACATCTAACTTTGTGAACAAATATACCATTGACGCCGAGTGGCCATGGCACAAACCGCAATTGTTCAACTCCTGAATAGCTCCTGTAATTTCACATTTTACATTTCACTGTGTCAACACTATATTTCATTCGTTTTCTCTTGTTATATGATTCGTATTCCCTTTTATAACCATTAAATAACCTTGTTTCTTCAGTTCTCTTTTGATATCTACAACTGATAATGGTGTTGTACACGTTGGGCCTTAGAAATACCTTGGACCATAACCCAATAAAATCGAGTGAAACTAGAGACTACGCAGATGAAAAATCAGAGATACTCAAAACTGTCCATAAGAACCACTATAAACCATAACACTGGTTTACTCAGAGTAGAACAGATTATTTTCTCATAGAACTACGAAAGATAAATCCTTTCAGAAACACCTTCGTGTACAAAGTATATTTTTTGCCATATGATGACAAATTCAAAGCGTATATCATCGTATACAAATATTAATCTATTTCGACTATATGACAGGACTGCAATCTTGAACCTTCAAAATCCATAATAATCACTTATTATGGATGACTATGCTTCAAATTTTATGTACTTTTGCCATAATTAACATTTTCTGGAATTACCTGTTCGGTTAGTGAACAGATAACTCACCAACCCCATGAGTGCTGCCCAGATATGACCGATCACGAGAAGCTCAGAATATCTTAAGTTAGTGTGAATTCCTTCGAGTTAATATTCAACCGGTTTATAAGTATTTTTTGTTCTTATTACTAGCGTTCAAATATTGTGTTTTTTATTTACTTATCGGCTTACAATTTTCGCTATTCTAAACTCTTCTTTAAGATTCCTCGATCTACTATATGTCCTTGTCATTTCTAAACCACATATCATCTGACCAGTATCTTATAAGATATATAACATATATACCTAATGCCACTACAACTTCATAGCAGTGTGATAAACTAGATGTCTAACATTTAACACAAAAGCTTTAACTGTCAGATTTTGTTGCAATACGGAACTAGTAGTGACAGTGGATTCCAACATGGTGTGTAATATGGACCTTAGATTAAGGCAATGTTCATACATACCACAAATGGAGGGATGGTGGTGTTACTAACTGGTGCGAAGATAATTTCAGCCCACCCATGTATGTAGAGCAGAAAATTTCGTTCAATAACGGCCCCTTGTGGTCAAGTAGGTTGGTACGGATGCTAATTTCTAATGCTAAATACCTCTTTAACTAGTTTCTCACCTCGAAAATGTATTCCCTGTTTCTATAACCAACATGCTCTGCAACATACCAACCAAGCTGAGTAACTTATTAAATTAAAGCCTGTAGCATTCGTAAAATCTGATCTTGTCTGTAAACTGTCATGCCCCATGTAACATATGATCATGTGAGAATATATATATATTTGTTTTTACTATCATTAAGTGGTACCACTCCCATCTGACGATATTTTTTAGAGGTTGCACCTTCACTGGAAAAAGGACTGTAAAGATTAACACAGGTCCACCAACCTACTAACCTTATTAGTGAGGACTGAATACTCAGGGCTTCACAGTGCTTTTGTCCATAACAACGCTATAAGCGAAAGATACCAAACACAGTCAAATCAGAAATCAACAAAGAAAGAGTTTGAGGATACTTCTGAAGAAACTGTCGATACTTTGAGGTGCAGTTGATCTAGGCTGATAGGTACTTCCCCGGGACAGACAGCATGTCGTTCCCACTCGTGATCTAGTGGGGATGTGTGAACAATCGCCTTCTGCCAGGGTCTGTCTAGTAGAACTAATGCGGTCAGCGTCAATCTTGAAGACTTACGGAATAACATAGTTTGAGGGTTTATTTACCGGTCTGTAGTGATGGTTGAAAGGCAACCGAATTTTACCACTCATCATTTGGTGAATGTGTAGACCAGCGTATCCTCCGTATCGTCCTTGATATTTATTTATTTATTTGAACACATAAATATTGGTACAAGGGGGGCACCAAATATATATGCGCCACACAAAACAATAACAATTTGAAGAGAAGGAGAAAAGAGAAAAGAAAGTAATGAACGTGGGGAATTATAAAAAAAAAAGGAAGAGAGAGAGAAAAATGGTGGGGGAAACGGAAAGGTACAATCAGAAGAGATCTTTCAGTTAAGGAAGATACAACCACATTTTATGAAGAAAGTAAAAGAGGGTTACAGAAGGATCGCCACTGGCTTCTATTCTGAGCCATATCTAATAACGTCTCTAGCCACTGCGTTACATCGTCTTTCGGACCCCAACCAGGGGGTCGTGAAGAACCAACAGAAGCTAGCCCTTTGCAACTTTCTTTCATACCACGACACCACGTCATACACTGACCACCTCTCCGCTTTTTCCGACCAGTCCCAGAGTCGGCAAATAATGCACGACGTGGAATTCTCTGGGACGACATTCGTAAAACATGTCCAAGCCACCGAAGTCGGTGTTTCAAGATGGTGACACCAATTTCATTATCGTCTCTGTGACCGAACACTCGATGCCGAACCTCTGCATTACTGACATGGTGTTGCCACTGGATGCCAGCAATCCTTCGGAGACAACGATGATCGAACACAGAGAGTCGTCTAACATCCTCAACTCGGAGAGGCCAGGTTTCACAAGCATAGAGCAAAACTGCTCTCACCGTCCCGTTGTAGATCCGACCTTTTACAGCCAGACTAACATCACGAAGGCGCCAAAGATGGCCCAGATTGGCATAAGCCGCTCTGGCTTTCACTATACGTGCATTGATCTCATCACTCACACCACCACCAGCACTTATGCAGCTACCTAGATACACGAACTTCTCAACTACTTCTATCTGCTCACCATCCAGAGTGAGTACAGGATTAGAATCCTGTCAGTCTTGTAGAAGAACTTTGCACTTCGAAGGTGCAAAGCACATACCATACCTACGGACACTGATTGCCAACTGATTAAGTGCGGATTGCATGGCTTGGGCATTCTCGCACAGTAAGACAATATCATCCGCATACTCAAGGTCGAGAAGTCTTTCTCCAGGCAACAGATCCACACCACCATTACTTACATCCGTCAGAACTGTTTCCAGAATGTCATCGATGGCAAAGTTGAAGAGGAATGGTGAGATTGGGCAACCCTGCCTAACCCCACTGCTCGAATGGAATAGTGGAGAAAGGTGATTGTATGCCCTCACTCTGCCTGAGGTGTTTGTGTATAGGGCTTTTAGGATGTTAATAAACTTCTCAGGCACACCCTTCTTCAATAGACAATCCCAGAGAACAGTTCTGTCCAACGAATCGAAGGCAGCCCTGATATCAAGAAACACTACGATTGTTGGCCTTTGATAAGTATGGCGGTGTTCTAACACTTGGCGGAGGGTGAAGATATGATCAATACATCCTCGACCAGGACGAAACCCAGCCTGCTCCTCGCGAGTCAATCCTTCTCGGGTTCTGAACAACCTACGAAGTATGACGGAAGCCAATAACTTGGACGCAATCGGAAGTAGACTTATCCCCCGATAGTTGTTACAGGAACATCGTGAACCATTTTTAAAGATAGGGACAACTATCGACTCATTCCATGA